GAGGAAGGAAGGAAGGAAGGAAGGAAGGAAGGAAGGAAGGAAGGAAGGAAGGAAGGAAGGAAGGAAGGAAGATAAGAAAGAGAAAGAGAGAGAGAAAGAGAGAAAGAGCTCTGTTTGGTTTATCGCCTTCAACATGGGCCAAAAATATGACCAAGAGTGAATTAGCTAGAAATGCCACATCTGCCCTTGTTTACTGTAGATGAAAGAATTTAAAGGCATAGGGAGACTGGAATGTTAAAAGTGAATTTGTCTAAGACTTTCTCTAAACTATGTCCCCCTCAAAACTCTTATGTTGAAGTTCTAATCCTTGCTAACTAAGAATGTGAACTTATTTGGAGACAGGGTCTTTAAAGAGATAAGATCAAATGAAGTCATTAGGATGGCCTCTAATACAATAAAACTGGTATCTTTATGAAAAGGAGAAATTTGAACTTGGGGACATATATAGAGGGCAATCCTGTGAAGAGACACAGGGAAAAGACAGCAATCTACAAGCCAAGGAGAGAGACTCGGAACAAATCCTTCCCTTACAGCCCTCAGAAAATGCCAACCCTGCTGACACCTTGATTTCAGACTTCTAGCCTACAGAACTATGAGACAAAAAATTTCTGTTGCTTAAGACATTCAATGTGTTGTACTTTGTTATAGCAGTCTTAGCAAATTAATATAATGAGCATTTAATACATGCTACTTTTATTTCCATTTTTATCAATGCTGCATGTTGAAGAGTAGAGTCATGGAACTCCAGTGAAAGATATCAAAATCTTGTAGATGTGACACAAAAGCAATTACGCACACACTGGCATTGTGAAACGTAAGTTTACATGTACTATTTGCATGTTCAGGAATCAGCAAGCATCGGTTTTTGCTAGCTTACTAATTTTTTGTTGTTCACTTATTTTGTTGCCTCCTATATTTTCTTATTTGGGATTTGCTACCTTCTTCCTCCCTGGTTTGTAGTTTACCCCCATTTAAACCAATTGCCTTTTTCCTAAATCACACATATAGAAACAGAGTTGGCTAATGCTGTCGTATATGTGGTCCTTTAGACAAAACTTATCACAATAAAAATGTCCATTTATTCGGGAACATTTGTACAATCATATTCAGGCCTTCCTTCAGATTTTATTCCTCATTGATTCTTCAGCACTTAATATATAATAAACATACACTGAGAATCTGTATTTCAGGAAGGTCTTTTGAATTTTCTTTCTAGAACCTTTCCCTCTTCATAACTAGTTGAAGTTTTAGAAGGACACAGATCTGTTCATTAAATGGAATTATGTCACCCATCAGCTTCAATCTAGACAGCCTGTCAACTCAGCTATTTTCTTACATCCCTCTCAACTCTATCTCACCAAGGTATTTTGCTGGCATGGTTTTCATTTTATTTATTGATTGTTTGTTTGTTTTTTGGTTTTTGAGGCAGGGTCTCACTCTGTCACCCAGGCTGGGCTGGAATGTAGTGGTACAATCTTGGGTCACTGAAACCCCTGCCTCCCAGATTCAAGTGATCCTCCCACTCCAGCCTCCCGAGTAGCTAGGACCACAGATGTGCACCAACAAGCCCAGCTAATTTTTGTATTTTTGGTAGAAACAGTGTTTCACCATGTTGCCATAGCTGGTCTCAAACTCCTGAGCCCAAGCAATCCAACTGCCTTGGCCTCCCAAAGTGCTATGATTACAGGCATGAGCCACTGCACCCAGCCCACAGTTTTTATTTATATCTTCTCCCTTGTTAAAAAATAAATGACTATATCTCCATGTGCTTGAAAGTGCATACACAGAGCACCATTAGAAGCCAAAAACTAGGGCTTTTTACTCCACATCATAAAAAGATGCTTTAAAATAAAATATTTCTAAGAGCCTTGATTCCCTCCCCCCAATAAATATTGAAAAAGATATCAATAACCACAAAATCCATGCAAATATAAGTATGAGATATCCTAAAATCTTAGTGATTTTCTAAGCTTTAATAAACTCAGAAGTATAAATGCTACAAACTTACAAAAACATCATTTTAAATGTTAATTACTTATATTGCTTTCAAATGTGTTTTTAAGTTTAAAGAATAAATTTCTATGTTTTTGTTTCAGTCACTGCAGGTGGTTAATTTTGAGGAAAATTTTAAAAATTGAATTAAGAAGTACTATTCAAAACACAATTCTAAAAAGACCAAAAAGAAATCAAAATTAGTTTCCAAATGATGTCTCTCTTCACTTGTAAATATTTATGCTTCTGGAGTTACTAACTCCTTAAAATATCACCAAGATATTTTGGACACCATGTTATTTATTCACTTTTTTTCTTAAATACATCCTTTTCTCCAATATAACCATATGATTTTTATTTTCATGGTAGGAAAATGTTTATTTTTTGGTTTGAATCTAGCACACCTCAGCAGATTCTGTAGTTGCCAATTAAAACACATTGTTTAACAACTGTCCTGAACAATAAACCAATCTTTGTCTCTTTCTACCACACATTAAAGTGTATTTCTATTGGAATTCCTCTAACATATTCATCACCAAACTGTAACGCTGGAGCTTCATTCAATTTATTTATACTTTATGTGTTATCATTGCTGAGGGCCCAGCTTAAAATCCAGGTAAAGAAATAAAAAGTGAGTTTCTTCCATAAGGAATATTGCAAAATAGAAATCAAAGGCACAATTTTACTTCTCAATCTCTGCAATCTAGCTTGGTTTACAATTAAGAAGTGATTTCAATTGTCAAACTTTTAAATTTTATTAAAATGTTTGTAGTAATGCACGGAATGAATTCCAGACCTACATAAATACACTGGCAGCTGTTTGTAATTTGCATTTTTATCAGTTTTGAAAGAGCACAATGTACTTCCTGCATCTTATTTTCAGAATTTGCATTTTTATCATCTTTGGCTATCCAGTAAACAGCATAGAGTACTTGAGTATCTCATTCTTTGAATTTTCATTTTTGATTGTAAATCAGATGATGTCTGGCACTTTTTTCTCATTTTTCTCTTCTCTCAACCTCCAGGTTACTTGCTCCCATTTCTTCTTGGCTCTAATAACAAAATATACAAAATATTTCAATTATTTTCTTGTTTAGTGCACTGATATTTTGTTCCTCTTTTGCTAATTAAATCTAAAGGAAAAGCAAAAGCTAATCTTATTGTTTTAATTTATAAAATTTTAAGATGCCATTCAAATAGCCCACTTCTTTTCGATGCTTACTGTGTTTTGCATTTGGATGGAGGGGTGGAAAAGGATGGAAGTGACACCATATATAAGGCTGTGCTATGGGACACGCAGAATGAACAGAAGGAAGGCTCCATCATATGAAGACAAGCACCTCCACTCACACCAGCAATATCCCTATTACAAAGAACATGTGGCCTCAAGGGAGGCTCGCTGATGAGAATGGCATCTCTAGTCGCCCTCATCTTCTGCCCCTAATTCCCACAGACACATGCATTTTCCTCTATTATTGCATTATCCCCACAGTATCTAACAACATTTTTCCAAAAGGCTTCTCCTGTCCATTTACACTTCTACGGCCCTGGCTGCCAGCCCCCTAGAGGAACAGACTCATGCCAGCTTGTGTTTTCTGCCTCCTTTCCTCCAGCAGTCCATCTGTCCCCTGGGAAAGGTTGAAATTGCTGCTCTGTGACCTAGCAAGAATATGTGCAGGAAGAAACCTAAGGTGATCTCTCTCTTCCTATTCTGGTGATGACAGCAATTGGGAAGAATAACCATTTTGAGGTTATGCATTTCCTAATCAAAAGAAAATAAGAAAACAAATGATTTCATTGTAAAATCTATTTAATTTCTCAGGTCCTCATTCTTCCTTTGCATGTAAATTCAGTCCAATTCACTGATTTATTAGGCACCTCACTTTTAAATTTCAGTCACATTCAGATTTAAAATTCTTTCTCAGGGTTTTCTCTGTACTCCACCTCCCTGCTACTGATCCTAATTTCTGGAAGTGGAACAGGAAAGAATGGTGGTGGTTGTGAGAGAGCTAGTAAGAGAATATAATTTCAACAGTCTTGACATGGGTGGGCCCTGTGCTGAGCTCTTATTTTTCTTTAATGGTGGCCTAGATAGCCAGTCTAAGGTTTCGTGAAATTTAACGTGTATCCTAATCACCTGGGAATGTTGTTAAAATGCAAATTCTAATTCATCAGATCTGAGATGGAGATTCTACATTTCTAAAACGCTTCCAGGTGATGTCATTGCAGCTAGTCCTCAGACCATAAAACTTTAATTAACAAAGTTTTGGTCAGTGGATGCTGGCTCAGTTTCTCCTTGACTCTCTGGCAGAAACAATCTATTGAGATTACAGCTAAATACCACCCCATCCCAATATGGCTCAACAAGAGCCTCTTTCTGGTGCTTATCCTTTTAATCCCAGCCAGAAGACTTCATTTCCCTCCCACAAACTCCTACTTGAGGCTCACAGGAATGTGAGGTGGTCTCCCATGTAAACTTGCACTTGAAAATCTCAAGAAGCTGTCTCCAGCCCCCTCATATTAGACATGACTTGCCTTCCCCCTAGCCCAGATAACATTGCAAATTTTTTCCTCAAAGCTTTCTTCCCCAGATTGTATCTAGGAACTGCAATGCAGCCATGCCTGGATGCATAGATTCACAGGTAGATATAGATGGCACATATATTATGTGCTGAAGTGACCCTTCCTTTCCCAAATATCCTTCTGTAATTATTGTTTAACTATCTGGAATGGTAGGGGAGAAGGCTACTGAAAGACAAGAGAAGTCATTAAGACGGGGATAAGGAAGGAGCACATCCTTTAATACTCCAAATATCACCTTGCTCATAAGAGGACCATGGGAGAAAAGGCTGTAGAGCTCAACAAGCGTCACTGAGGATATTCATCAACTTCTCACCTCTTTTCCCATCCCCCAAATTCAGTGCAATAATGTGAAAATTCACACAAAGTTAAGGGAAAGTATAATCAATTAAATAGCACTGCAACAGAGTTCTCTTGTGCATAGTATGATTTGGGAAAGATGGGGGATACAAGGAAAACAGATGTCCCAGTATATAAACATATAACACAGATCCATGCCTTGAGTCACAGTTGTAGTCAGTAGGATTTCCCTAACTGGAACTTTTTTTGAAACGTTCAATTGTCTGAGATGTAATTGAAAGCATTTTATCCTGTGTGGATTTCCAAACCCACTGAACCAGCCCAGGACAGTCTGGAAGAAAACACCAAGCTGTTTAGCAAAAGAACAACTTGAGGTCAGGGTTATTACAAACCTCTACCCTGAGGAGGTTCCAAGGATCCCCAGCCTCCCAGAGGACAGGGCGAGACCACAGTCCCTCAGAACCTATTGGCTGAGAAATTTCATCTTGGATGTCCTGTCAGTCTGTACCAGCCAATATTTGTCTATGGTAGACATAGCAAAGCCTTAATGTCTTGTGTTAAGACACAGTTTAATGTATTTGCTATGTAGCACAGCAAAAAATCCATCTTAACATATTACGTAATTGCTGCAATTACTGTTTGTTGCCCAGGAGAGAACTGTATAAAAACCTTGTCTGGTAACACATAAAAATAGGCAAAGAGGAACACAGCAAAACAGTTGAATTAAATTACCAGTAGACAAGATAACTACTAAACTCCAAGTAATTAAATGTGCATATATATCTTGAAATTTTTATTTATCTTCATGTTTTCTAAAATATTCCTTGCACTTAAAAACTTATTCATTTTCAGAATTGCATAATACAGTAAAACCACTTATAAATAGTTACCTGGATATATCTTTTCACTTTTTGAATATGTTTTTGAAAAAGGAATTCGTTTTCGCCAGGCTGAACCATTATATGATGTTGACATATATTTGTCTGAGGGAAAAAAATCCAGGGTTAAATATTTTATAACTTTAAAACCATATTCCAAGGGTGTATTAAAGTTATAAATATCTCAGGTGTGAAGCTATTCTCTAAGTAATTTATTTTTCCATTTCAAAGCTAAGTCAACAGGGATACAAGTGAGTTTATTAAGGCAATTTAAGTTATAAGTGAACATGGTTACAGATTATTAATTGGCTGTTCAATGCTTCAAATAAAGGTAAGATACAGGAGAGTATGATATCTAAATGTAATAAAAATTTTCACTGCATTGCTTCATCATAGTTTTACATAAGTTCTGCTAATGTTTCTTAGGGCTTTTATTTAAAAACTGTGAAACTATGAGGTACAGCCCAAGTCCTGTGTCCTTCCATGAAATGACTTCCATGGTTGCAGTAAGTGGCATGATGAGGTAGTGAACTCACTACCCCAGACAGCCAAAGCATTTATACCCTGACCTGGTCCTTCAATACTTATTTTTCTCTGATATAGCTATATTTCTAATACTATCTAACAATGTTATGTTTGTGTTTTCAAATATTACTATGCAGCTGTGTTCTCAAACATGATCCACAATACCAATAATTTGCTTTTCTCTTGTGTTGACATTTGCACTAGTGGTGCAAAAGAAATACAGAGTATAAACTCTGGCACCTTCACACAAATCTAGACATTGTCAACTGTTTTAGTACTCACTGTATTCTTCACAGCCATCCACTTGCTGTTAAACAATAATAATAATAATAATAATAATAATAATAAAATAATAGTAATAAAATTAAAAGCCAGTTTCACCTAAGAATATCCTGATCTGCATATACACATGCCTATATCATTCTATTCTAAAGAAAAGAGAAAAATAACTCAAATAATGCAAATGTCTATTTAAATTGTATAAGAAACACCTACTATGTACCCATAAACAAAATGTTTATATACACCTACTATATGTATATATTTCTTAAATTGTAAAAGAAACTAAGAAAGATATAGTCTTATGCTTCCAAAAGTACAAAATATTCAGAACTCCACTAATCAGACCATGAACAAGGAAAAATACAAACATGAAATCATTTAGAATTGAGCAGCATTCTGTTAAGTTGAAAGAAATGAAACTCAACTTCAAAAGAGCAAAATCCATCTGAGAAACAGGAAGAAAAAGAGATTTGGTTCTCTTCTCCCTGGTACCCTTGTACTTCCTGACATATACTATGACTTTGCCTATTACATGATGAAATGATTTAGAAGCAATCTATACATGGTGAGAGGGATGAGAGGTTGTCAAAAACATGGCAGTTAATCCCCGAACTAACCCTTTCAGAAAACAATCATGAAGGCCTACAGAAATGTCAAGGCACTAGTCTGACGGTGATAATTGAACAATGTAGTTAATGGAAAAAGAAAATGTCAGCCATTTAAAAACAATCCTCCAGAGTGACATGAAGCTGTCCAGGGGGAACAAAGTGCAGTGCTCTGATAAAAGAAAAAAAAAAGCACTTTAGGGAGGTGCAATGTGAAGTCATCTGCACACAACATGAGTTTTCTTCCACATCTCTTAAATCATGTGCAGGAGTGCACATGGAAGAAATCTCCTCACTAGTTTCTATGGTGGTGATGGTCAGCAAAAATAAGAGGGGAGTAGATAGCAGTGAAGATTAGCCAAGCCATCAGAAAATTCCATGGGAATGCAAACCACAGATAAGAGTAAACCACATCAAAAAAGGACCTCTCACCTGGACTGAGGTTGGGTTTGGGTTCCTTGTTAACATGGACTTTATTGTAGGACGCCTGTGTGGGCCTGCTGCGGGGAGGTGCATTCAACGAGACACTCCTGACGGCATCTCTTTGAACATGAACATAGGATGCATTCTCAGTATTTCGATTTTTATTATTGCGATGGTAACTCATTTTATTTTGGGGACTTGGGGTCTTTACTGCTGTAAAGAAAGGCAGGAGGGAGTGATGAATAAAACAGGCTGGTTTCACACCCATAAATGACATATCGCACTGTAAGTACTTGATGGCATAATGGAAGCCAAAATAATGGAGTTTAGAGAAGTTGAGTTGACACCTAAAGTAACAACTATGTCACATGACAGTAATTTGTTTTTCAGGTAGAAGATATCTGATATTTACTCTCTTTTAAAATTACAATTTAGAAATATCAAATATATGGACACTTTACCTCTCTGCATTCCAGAGCCAGGAAAGTTCTTTGGTTCATCATAAATCCATTTTCTTTTTTTCACACCTTTAAAATGAGGCTTCCTTGGCTGGACATCATTCACTTAGAAAAGATACAAATTTTACAGTTTTTTAAGAGATGCTTTTATCTTTAAAATTACTGTAGATGATAATTACATATCTGTGCATTCACATGTCAAGCAAGAGTAAAAAATAAATGTACTACCTTAATACTTTACTTTTTAGAACAAAAGGTGATTTATTTTTAAGTGACAAAAAAATCTATCTTGGAAGTAGATTGATGAGATAACCTTCAATAAGTAGATTTCCTTAAAGAAAAATAATTTTCTCCAAAGGAATGTGTGGATTCTTTTAAAGGAACATAAAATTGCATTCAAAATATATAATTATAAATATCATTATAATGCTATTTTTAAGTAGTTTTAGAATCATTATTTTCCACACGAATCTTTTTGTACTTTTTAGCCAAACCACTACTTCTTAAGAAGTTGTATTAGCGTCAAATACTTTCAGTGAATTTTACCTTATTCTTTTAAGGTCTTAAGTTGGGTGTACAGAGACTTTGGTCAAGATTAAGTAATCAGAATTTGTACATTCTAAGAACATTAAATTTTCACTTTTTATTTGCATATTTTCACATCAAAAATTTTATACATATTCTCAATTTTTCAGGAATTTCTATGGTACATATCTCCAGAGAATTTTTAAACAATTTTGTAGAGGGAGCATTCTGTCACTTCACTGTGTGGTGCTTCTGAAAAATCACAAGTGACCACTGCAAAGAGAAACTGATCACCAAATGTACAGTGTAGATTATGCTAGTTTTCTACAGTAGACTAATAAATCTTTTTGTGCCCTCTCAGTTTAAGCTTTAATCCCTCAATAAAGATCTGATTCACTGTCCCTTCCTCAAACATCATGCCCCTGCCCTACTCCCAAGCTGCCAGTCCAATGATTTGGAATCCATATTTTTAACAAGTGCTACTAAACTGGGCTTCTTGGGGGCAAATCACAATTATTCCTATCAGTGTCAGGCTGTGATCCAAGAATATTTTAGGGGTGCAATGCATAAAATAAGGAAGAAAAGAAAGAAGGGAAGGGATCAGGAAGATTCACAAGTCTTAACTGTATCAAGAGAAGTAGTTCATTGAACCGAATGTCAAGGAGAAGCCAAACTAATAAAAAATAATCCAAAACATAATAAAAAGCCGTCAATGGATTATTCCACTACGGGTGAAATTTAAAATGTTATGCTAGTGAATCTTCCAAAAAGATAGTATATTATTAATTTTAAGACCCAAATTAAACTAGTGGGAAAGCATATAATGCACTAGGACCTACATCACAGTTCATTGTCAGTTAGTAGAGGATATTGTGTCTTTAATTCTTAGTTCTGAATAATTTTGAAACCTTTTTTTCTTTCTTTTTTAAAATTCTGTTTTAAATAACCAATACAAATCCATGGTAAGACAAATATATCTAAGGCCAAAAGTGATAGAACTAATGTCTCACTTGAAGAGGGATCCTCTCTGCACTTCATACTGATATTCTCAGTAGCATTTAATACATGCGTTGTAGGTACTAGTCGGGTAGTTAGGGAACGCTTTGGATGAGGACTGTCCTTGTCATCTTTTAAAGCAAATTAAGAAAATAAAACGTCAATATTAGTTTTAAAAAAACATTTCAGTTGGTATTTCACTATTCAGACATTACATGATGGGAACAGTTCTTTAAAATAATATATATGTTAGTTCATTGTGAGGAAAGCATCATTAACATTCCCTAATTGCCACATGGATTTCCAAATGTCATCAGTAACAAAACAAAACTCTGAAACTATAGCCATTATTTTCAATATGTAAATTAAAAATTGTGGCAATATTTTGAATATCTCCATACAGAAGTTTTAAAATTTTTACATTGAATGGTCCCATTTAAGTTGGGGTTCTGAACATATTTTAAATGTAACAACTTTAACTCGTTATATGCTTTGGAGCAGAACTAACTTCCTGTTACATGCTTTGGAGCAGAACTCCTTAGTAGGGCTTTCCACAATGATGAAAATGTTCTAAATCTGTGCTGTTCAGTATGGCAGCAATTAGCTTCCTGTGACTACTGAGTACATGGAATGTGGCTACTGCCAATGAAAAACTGATTTTTTTATTTTATTCAACTTTAACTTAAACAGTCATACATAGCTGGCGGCTACTGTATTAGTATTAGCTTTAAGAGTTTCTTTGATGAATTGGGCAAAACCTTTCCATCTTTGAGTGAGAAAATGAGAGAAAGATTTACAATTTTCCGCAGAAATAATTTGATCACTAGTGCCCTTTCTTATGCTTGAGAATATTTAATGGTAGAGATAGTAGATAAAATGGGTTTACATTTTGATTGAGAGTATGTGAAGCTCCCTAATTACAGGACAGCTGTATTTTTAGTCTGTGACTGAGGGGCACTCAGCAGAGAGATACCAGATGGTGGATTCTAAGCACCGTTAAAGGTAGTGTAAAACTATAGAGAATGTATTTTATCATATGTCTTGATTATTCATAGACTAGTGTTAGCAACAGGTATAAAATACAGAAGTCTTTTCAAGATTAAACTCTTTAAGATTTTCAAAATATTTTCTAAGAAAATTAATTTATACTGACATTATATATTAAAGGACTTGGTATTACAGTTAAGAGAGCCAGTAACTTTAGAACTAGCAATACTCCTAGAAATTATACAGTTCAACAGGCCATTTTTCAGATCAGGAAAAATTGTCATGGTCATACAATTATGGACAGAGCCAGGACTGGAACCTTAGAGCTCTTGATTCCTATTCAGTGTATATGTTGATTTATTACCATTCCTCTTACACTGGTTTTTATAACAAGCAATGTTATCATTAACTCATCTAGCCAAATTACAAATGAATCAAAATTATATAATAATTCATTACCTTTAGTATTTGAAAATTTTGATATGGTGATTTCTTTCTCTTCCATTAAAGCTTCATTTTCATCTACTCCAAGAAACATGATCCTCTGTGGAACATAACAGTCACCTCCTATGACAAAACCTTACTGTCAGTGGTAATGATGGCAGAAAGTGATACAAACTACCTTTCAATACAGGAACATTTTCTACAACACCCCTTTTGTCCACCTTTGTTTGGATACTTCTCAGTGATACCATACCTGTCTCCATACATTTATATGCTTAGATTAATATATGTGTATCAATATATATGTATATGAATACACAGTATGTAAATTTACATACAAATAATTGCAAGAAAATTCAGAGTCAACAAACAAAATTTTCCTTAATTTATAATACTCTTTAGTCCCACCCTTTAGAGATACTCAAAGTAAATGTAATTTATCTTCCATATAAAATCTTCAGATATCTTAAAGCAGTTTTCATGTTTCCCCGAGGTCTTCTATTTTCCAGAATAAATATTCATAGTTGCTTTAAACTTTACATACAAAATTCCAAATTCCTTTACTGTACAAGTTACCTTTTCTTAGCATAACATATTTATGTCAAATAACCTTATTTAAAAATGACACCCAAATGTGAACTAAGTTGTGGAGAAATCAGCGAAACTAGTATAATAATATTTGCCATTCATGGAGTAATTTTCTAGGTATCAGACCCGCTACTGAGTACTTTAAATAGCATTTAACTATCTTTCCATACTACTTCTAATAATCCAATGTGAGTTTACCGTCTAGTGAAAACTCCTAAATTGTTGTGAAACATTGTGGCCAAAAAACCCACTATATCTTCCCCTCACAAACTCCATCATGTTGGGTTTCCCCAACTCAAAGAAAAGCCACTATTTAATGTTTTGTAACTAAATGTAAGAATGTATGTTTATTATTGTTTGACGTTACCCTGTAAGATATGGCTAATTGTTCCAACAAATTAACTTCCAGTTAACTGTAAATTTTATAAATATGTCTACATTCACCCAGTCATTCAATGCATTTTAACATATCATCATTTATTCTACAAGTATTTACTGAGTACACATAATGTGCCAGGCATTTTACTACAGATATTTATCTATAGCGATTGATTATATACAGTTCCTGGCCTCAAGGAGCTTACGCAAAACCAGTGATGAAAAGGTTAAAAAAAAAATTTTGGTTTCTGCCATGACAAAAATGGCTCTTATCAGAATAAATTTCATCCCAAAACCAATTATGAAATGCCAAAACACACTGATTGGAAAACAACCCAATGCATGCTAGTGTAATCCCTGAGAGCAATGGAGGGACACAAAATCAATTGTATGTTCACATTTACCCTGGTTTTCTTCCCTGAAGGAGTTACACTCCACACTCACTACAGATCCCTCGCTGAAAGCATGTCCAGTTCATCATGTAAGGAAATAACAAGCAGAAAGTGACACCAAGGAGGTAAAAAAGAGCCAAAAGTCTGGGACTGTCTAATTGGCTTGAACTTGAGGCAGGAAATGAAAAAGGAAGAACAACAAAGAAGTTCCCTTGAAATAGACATAAAACTAAAACTCCCTTTAGGTTGTTACCCGACTCCCACATTTTTCATATACATAATGGAACCCTAGGAATTAAGCAAAACAGCATCTGGGAGGTTAAAAACTGGTCAGAGATTTCAGCATCTACATACTGCTTGTGAGGTAAAATTTGGCACAGAAGCCTCACCAGAGTAGAGATATCTTGGTGAACACCCCATGTCTCAGTTGATAACCCAGTAAAGCAATGCTGTAGTGGTAAAGGTCATATCCTAGGAATGAGGACTACACCTTCAAAGAAATGAAAAATAATGTATCATCCCTAATAAAGCCCAAAACCAGTCTTTCACAGAATTAAGTGACCAGCTGATAGTCTAGCTGCTGCCAGAAGAAAAGTTTCTCTCTTAAAAAACAACATCATTCATACATTATGTAATTTTTATCTATAATGTTCAGTAGCAAATAAAATATTAGAAGGGCATAGTTAGACAGAACAAATGAGCAAAAACCTGAGGAAAGTGAGAGATATCCAACTGTTATCAAACAAGAAGTTGGAAAAAATAACAGGAACATTATCAAAATAGAGAACTGATAGAGAATTTAAGTAGAAAATTAATAAAAAGGTCAAACAGAAATTTAGAATTTAAAATATGGATTGAAGAGCCGAGAGAAAGAGAATTAGTGAGCAGGACAGTAGGTTGGCAGAAAGTATCCAGATTTATCTAGAGAAATCAATAAGAAAAAAAAAACATTTAAGATGGACTAGGGACTTAAAAATGCCCCAGACAAAAGAGAAAGTCAAAATGGCCAATAAGTTTATGAAAAGGTGCTCAACATTATGAGTCATCAGGGAAATACAAATTAAAACTACAAAGATGTACCACTAGCCACCCACCAGAAAGGCTAAAGTTAAAGGACTGAAAATTCTCATTGTGGGTTAGGGTACAGAGTAAGCTTATCTCAAAGAAAAAGAGTGCTTATGGCCTTTAGAAGACATGTACAAGCATATTAACAATAGTCCCAAACTGGAAACCTTGTTCGCCAAAATCCCAATATCGATACTCATGGTGCTTTCTTGCCTTGTTTTTTGTTTGTTTATTTGTTTACAAACATATAAAGAGTGGTGAAAATTTTGAGTTGTTACACCCACACATTTCTAGCTGAGGTCCAACAATGGCAATGCTCAGCATTCTCATTTCAGTTCATACAGAGATGACCAGAGAATGGCTGGAGACAGGAGGGGGCAGCACAGCACAGTGCAAGAAGCTCTGACTCTGGGGAGAGGTGGAAGGGATCTCAATTCAAGTTCTGAGGCTTGTCGGTGGGGAAACCCCAGGAGAGTCACTTAACACTTCTTAACTTTATTTTCTCTTTTGTTAAATAAAGAAAACAGAATATACCAGGTTGAGTAATTTCTACGATTTAAGATTATAATCTCTGTGAGATGTATGTATATGTGTGTGTGTACGTATTTCCTCAAGGAGCAATGGTTCAGTGTTTGCTAATTCAGTGTTCATGTCAGCTTTATAGAACATAGCTACCAGGAATAACAAGAAACAACTGTGTGTGGGTTTGTGTGTGTATCAACTGTGTGTATATGTATATACTATAAAGAGAGAATGAATGCCCATGTCTTTATATATACATACATATATATAGTATACATCTTATATATAGATATGTGTATATATATGCAGTATATGTCTATCTGTCTATAGATATTTACAGCAATGTAAAAAGACTACTGCTACAATCAACAGCATGGATCAGTCTCATAAAAAGAGCATTAAGTAAAAGAATCCAAACTAAAAGAGTTCAAACTGTATATTTCCAGTTATATAAACGTCAAAAAATGCAAAATTAGCCTATAGTAAGAGTGAGCAAAGTAGTGGTTACCATTGGGAGAAGACTACTGACTTGGAGAGAAGGAGCCATCTGGAGTACCATAAATATTGTTATACTGATACATACACACGTAAAATTTTAACAAGCTATTCACTCCAGATCTGTGAACTTTATTAAAGTGTATAACACATTAAAATAATATTAAGACAATACCTCAAGTATTTTTCTTGAAATTGAACACTAACTCATTAATTATAATTTCAGTTTTTGATCGTCTTCATTTTAAAGATGTCTTATGAATACAGGGGTCTGAATATGTTTAGATATATCTATCATATACATATCCCCAGAAGATTCCTTTATCTAGTAACACAGAGAGCATAATGATGCCTGGAAAATCAATAAGCCTAACTATGCCAGAATCTAGAATGCCAGGTGATGGAATTTTTTTAACATCCTTTGGTATGGTTGTTCAACCAGTTTATGATAATAATTTATAACAATATTATAGTAATAAACTGGTTGAGCAATCATACCAAAAGAATGGTAGATAGGCTAATGACTGTATGACATTCTCACATTTTCTAACACCCAACAAAGTAGGGAATATATTACTAATGTCAAAATTGAAGGAAAGTTTACTTTTATATGAAATCATTAATTTACCAATGGTTGAAAATAACTTTTTATTAACTAAAAGGCAATTAGATTTAATAATATTTCAATAGAATGTTCAATTAAAATTGCTCAGGTTAAGTGGATCCCACTTATATAGGTTATATAGACAGTGGGAACTCCAATGGGAGAAACTACCAGGGTTTCTAATTTGCAGCTAAACTTATTGCTTCAAGGCCACCAAACAATGCCAGCTAGATTAAAATGCTGCAGATATAAGAAAGAAGAAAGAATCAAATTACTTTAGCACCAGAAAAAAAAAAAAAGCATACACCGAAGAAAATGGCTGATACCAGGACAGCAGAAAGTATCACCAATATGCCTAAAATATACTAATCCTTATTGATACCTGCTCTCAACTCCCTTCCTGACCTTCATGCACATTGTTCCCACCAGCCACACCTTTCAATCTCCCCACAAACTCTCTATATATTTTTAAAACAAATGCCTGAAATTTCCAGTCAAAGGATTGATTTTCCAACATGTTTATGCTAAAAAGCAGTTCCAAAATATTTAAGCTATAATACACAGTTATAATGTGATGTGTTGGCACACGTGATATATATTTGAATACAGCTACTTTAAAGCAGACTTATTCAAATGACTTGTTAAGTGCCTCTTTCATTTACAGCTCTGTTATAGTATATTACAGCACGTACATGACACCTGAATTCATTACAGTCTGGAGTCAAGCCTACACACACACACACACACACACACACACACACACACGGGCACACACACATCAGGTTTCTCATTAAAATATGGAAAATGGAATGTCTTACACACTGAACACAAATTCACGCAAGGTTTTTGGTAGAGATTTTAGTCTCTGAAAGCAACTGATTTTGTGATGTACCTCCAACTCCCTGTGTTAAACATGACATGATCAAAAAAAGAAAAATTAGTTGTAAAAGATAAAATTCAGACATTTATTATGTGGTGATAGATTCAGTCAATCAGTAATAAATTAACTTACCTCCATTTTCAGAGGCAGCAATGTCAGTCCCTGGTTTCCTATGCAATGATGTTTTTATTTCACCTTGCCTTTCATATTGGCTAAATTTTGTCGGAACTGTAAGACTATCTCCTAGAAATAAGAAGAAGAAAAATAATTTCTCCAGAAATTATTAGATGCTTGAATAAGAAATTTATGGTAGAATTCACGATGAAAGTAAAAAAGCTTTCAAGTTAATGCAAGTATTGTTTGAACAGTGATCTGATAAACAATAAATTAATAAATATATGAGTTTTAAATTCTGTAATTTCAACAAAGAAGTAGGCAAGTATATTCTCCTATTTGGATTATTTATTCAATGGCAATTAAAAATGTTTAAGCTATCTAACGCTACTGTATGTACATAATATATTTAGTTTGATATGTTTCTCATATAATGAATTTTGTAATATTGCTTTTGATTTTATCTGTTCACCACGAACAATCAGATAAAACGTATTAACACTACAAAATGCTAATTATGCTGATAATTAAATAATACTCTCGGCTTTCCCCATGCACTTCTAGATAATTTTCTTCTAAAATAAACAAAAACAGAATAAAAGAGACATGATAACCTAATCCAAAAAAATGATTACGGATTGAATCCTAGACCGGGGAAAAATTAATTTTACTATAAAGGACATTAATGGTATAATTGGTAAAATTCGTGGTAAAAGAAGGTTATAAATGATATTGTAGCAGTGGTAATTTTCTGATTTTTATATTTATACTACAGTTATGCAAAATAAAAGTGATATCATTTCTATAACGTTCTCTCACACAGTTCAGAAAATTATAATAATGTGTATATTTAGAGATAGTGAAAATTCAAATATGGTAAAATGCTAATATCTGAAGGAAATATAGGTGAAGGGTATACAGGAATTAACTGAAACTAGTTAAAAATAAAAGCCTTGAAAGCATAATACAAAGCAAAAGTACATATAATAGTCTTCATAATATGCCATGTATAATGTTCATTGTCAACTTATTTTCTTCTTTTGTTTTAGTTTCCTTTTGTTTTTTCTCCTCTGAGTAGTGCAGACTTGCGATCTGTCCTTCCCTATATGGCTCCCAAGTCTTGCAGACTCTTCTCCATCTGATGCTGTGTTGCTGCCACCTACCGCCACACGTTTGAATAGTTCGCCACAAACAGACTTGCACATCTTGTGGAGGTTCATCCACAATAAATCAGATTCTCCAAAAGTAAGCGCCATAAAACACAGAGCCTTTGATTTGTCCACCAGCACGGCCCCTGAAATAGCCTGGTCCACAGAAGACTCTCATTCAATGACCAAATAATCTTTGTCCTGCCGCTAGCGTCATTCTGTAATCTGTTCTTCTTGGGCTAGGCTTACTTTTCTATTCAGAAAGAAAAATCTAGACCTCTTTCACAGGGGTGATTTATCTCAAAGACAAATAAAATGGTAAAAGCAAATTATTTACAGGATTACTCCATGGAGTGTGTAGTGTCATTGTGTGTTATGAAGTCTATTCATTCTGTCATTTCTCTAGGATAACATAATCCCATTAATAGCAGCTTTGGGTCATCCAATACAAACACTTTCTTCTAGCTATCAACTACAATGTATTGTTTATCAATTTATTCTTCTGTACATCATACTAAATAATTCAGTCTATCACACCAAGTATCTCTTATATATCACTATGAATGCTGCCTTTTCATTTCTTACCTTCTTGCAATTCACTGCCACTTTCCAAAGGCTTTTCTGACTCTTTTTCTACTGTAGGGGCCACACTTTTCGAGGATGAAATATCTGGAGGAGTATGAAATCTGTAGTATTCTCCTAATCAACCATAAGAAAAGTAATGGTTAGTATACTGATCACATCAAGTATTATAAAATACAAAAAATGTTTGATTTCTTACCAGATTTATAACACATCTCCTTAATTGCTCTTTTTTCTTCAATTTCTTCAGGAGTCTTTGTCCATAAACTAGAAGCATCTATAGGATACATTTTTTAAATTAAATTTTCCCAAAGCCAAATAATCTGAAAATTTATAAACTAGAAAGAAAAACCCCAAATATTGTTCTCATGGATAGATTATGTTTTTATATGTTTAAAGTCAATAATTTTACATACTAGTAATAGTTTCAAGTTGCTACATTTTAAGTTTTAAAAAGAATTAGTCAAGAGAAAAGAAAGGACTATGTATTATGTACTTTGAAATGAGACACTGAATGTATAGACTCAATGTTGAGATGGTGTATGTTTATTTGGAGATTGATGTAGGCATGAGAGACATGGAGCTGCAGTACACAGAAACAGTAATAAGTAGCTCTGTGTATTCCTAAGCACAGAAACTATGGCAGCCTGTAGCCCACAGAAGGACACATTCCAGCACAAAGACAGAGTGAAAGTTTATTTTTCTTCATGTTTATCTTGTATATACACACTTTCTGGCACCACTGTGCTGGGTTGATATGGTAGGCAAAGGATGAACTAAACTGCAAAGATCTTGGTTCTAAACCTGTTCATACTCTGGTGAGGATGACCTAGAATAATGCAGATGATGGTGCTTTATAGATTATTAACTATTACATAGATCTCTGTAACTCAAGGATTAAATGTGAAGCTAATATATTATTAATACATATGTATATAAACAAACACATGTGCATCAATGTGTTTTAGAAAGTTATATATAAAAAAGGGAGCTTATTAGTATCTCTCTCTATATATACTAACATATATACCTGTATATACGTAAGCATCAGACATGTCTCCCAGCCATCATACAACAAAAAATTTCCAATTCAAATGATCATAAATATGTTAGACATAGAACAAATTAGAATATAACGAATTAAATTTGTTTAATACAATTAAAGTTATGTTCTCAGCAAAATCTGCCTTATGTATTTCATCGTAAACCTCTATAGTTAAACACATATGTAAAAAATGTTGTGAGGTTTGTGAATGCGCATTATAAACCTGAGTAAATGTCTACTAACCATTTTGTTCATCTATTTCCTCTTCTTCCTCAAAATTGGTTTTTAAAACTAAGGGGTTGTGGATGGGTCGTGATATATTTTCCTGAGGTTTTAGAGGTTCCTGATTCTGGGTCTGGAGTGGAATTCCTTCCTGACTTTCTTTCTGTAGTGTGATATCTGCAGAGAAAATGCAACATTTTAGTCCATTAAAGATATATGTGATGATAAGTATATTCAACAATCAATCATTGCCCTCCTAATTAACTATATATTTTAAAACATGTATAATAATAATGCAATAATTATTATTTTTTATGCATTAGCAATGAACAAACTGAAAATGAAATAAAAATAATCCCACTTACAATAGCATCAAAGAGAAAAAATATTTAGGAATTAATTTTAAGATGTGCAAAATTTATATTCTGATAAGATTGTCGAAAGAAGAAAAAAATGTTGTTGAAAGAAGTTACAGAAATGTTGAAATGGAAAAATATCCTTGTGTATGGATTGATTTGTTTTTGGTATGACAATATTTTCCAAATTAATCTATACGTTCAACACAACTCTTATCAAAATCCCAACAGACTTATTTGCAAAAATTGAGAAGCTGATTATAAAATTTATATGGGCATTACTACAAAACTAAAGTAATCAAGACTATCTGGACCAGCATAAAAACAAAAATAGATCTACTTATTATTGGAATAGGATTGCAAGACCAGAAATAAATCTTTATATGAATCAATTTATGCTCAATTGATTTTCATCAAGGGTACATAGACCACTCAATGGGGAAAGAATAGTATTTTCAACAAATTGTGCTGGGACAACTAGACAGCCAAATGCAAAGTAATTAAGTTGCACAACTTCATCACATTGTAAACAAAAATTAATGCAAAGTGGATCTAGAACAAAATCCAGGAGCTGAAGCTATAAAACTCTTGGAAGAACCCTTAGGTTATACAAAGCTTTCTTAGATATGACATCAAAAGGATAAGCAATCAATGAAAAATAGCCAGCCCCCTGGCACATGGAGGTGAGCCATGATAGCACCTGCCAACAAGGCCTAGATTTTGCTGAAAAGCAGTTCCCAGCCCTCTCAGCCAGAGAATGAAGAGACACTCAGAACCCTAAGGTGATGCAGAAAGAATGAGTAAGATCCAGCCTGGGCAACATGGCAAAACCTTATCTCTACAAAAAATACAAAAATTAGTCAGGTGTGATGGTGCACACCAGTAGTCCCAGCCACTCGGAAGGCTGAGGTGGAAGCATCATTTGAACCCGAGAAGTTGAGGCTGCAGTTAGCCAAGATCATCCCACTGCACTCTAGCCTGAGCAAGAGGGCAAGACTCTGTTTCAAAACAAAAACAAACAAAACCAAATGAGATATCACTTCATACTACAGTGATTACAATTATTACATATTTTTTATTAAAAAGACAATAACAAGTGTTGACAAGGATGTGAAGAAACTGGAATCTTCATACATTGTAGTTGGGAATGTAAAATGCTGCAACTACTTTAGAAAACAATTTGACAGTTCCTCAAAAGGTTGAACATGGAGTCATCACAAGTCCTGTCTATTCCATTTTCAGCTATATACAAAGGGGTGTAAAAATATATGTCCATATTATACAAATATTCATTTGTACACAAATGTTTGTTTATATCAACATTATTTATAACAGTCAAAAAGTGGAAACAATCTAAATTTCCATTCTCTGATAAATGGATAAATAAAATGTGGCATATTCATACAATGGAGTGCTATTTGGCCATAAAAAGTAATAAAGTACTGTTGCATGTGAGAGCATGGATGAATTTTGAAAACACACTAAGTGAAAGACGTAATTCACAAAACAATAATGCATGACTCCATTTATGTAAAATATCAAAAATATATTTGTAGAAAAAGGAGTAAATTAGTGACTGTGTAGGTTTCGGGAGTCGGGAAGAAATGAAGAGTAACTCTTAACGGGTGCGGATTTCTTTTTTGGAGTGATCCAATGTTCCAAAATGGAATATTGTTCTTTGATCCATTTAATTTTTATAATGCGATGCAGTTGTGCTACTTAATTACTTTGCATGTTGCTATCTAGTTATCTTAGCACCATTTGTTGAAAATACTATTATTTTCCCAATTGAATGGCCTATGTACTCCTGTTGAAAATCAATTGAACATAAACTGATTCATATAAAAGTTTATTTCTTGTCTTATAATCCTGTCTCAAGTGCATATAGATCCATTTTTATGCTAGTGAAAATAGTCTTGATTACTTCAGTTTTGTAGTAACTTGTAGATTTTGAAATCAGGAAGTGTAAGTCCTCCAAATTTGGTTTCCATTTTCATAATTTTTTTCACTATTCTGGGCCCCTTAAATTTCCACATAAATTTTAGAATCAGCTTCTCAATTTCTGAAAATAAGTCCATTGGGATTTTGATAAGGTCTACATTGAACCTATGGATTAATTTGGAGAATACTGGCATACCAACTACAAAGTCAATCTATGAACAAGCATAGCTCCATTTTTCAAGGTTTTCTTTAATTTCTTTCAACAGTCTTCTGTAGTTTTCAGAATATGAGCTTTGCACATCTTATGTTAATTTATCCTTTTTGAAGCTATATTAAGTGGGATTTTTTCATTTTATTTTCAGTTTGTTCATTGCTACTGTAAAGAAACACAATCCATTATTGTATATTACTATTGCATCCTGCAAAGTTGCTGAACTTATTTCTAATAATTTTTAGATTTTTAGAATTTTTTAAATAAAAGATCATGTTGCATCCAAATAGATACAATGTTGCATCTTTCTTTCCAATCTGGAAGCCTTTTGACTAATTATATTGCAAAAATTCCCTGTCTTGACTATAAATGATAATGATGAACATCCACATCTTGTTCCCGATCTTAGGGGTAAGCTTTCAGTGTTTCATCAAGTATGATGTCAGCTGTGGATTTTAAGTTTTTTCTGTTTCTAGTTTGTGGAATATTTTGTGTAAGGTATGTGTGTCAAATTTTATCAACTGCTTTTTATTCATCTGTTAAGATGATCATGTGTCTTTTACTCTTTATTATCATGGTTTATTATTATTATTATTATGGAAATTTATTTTGGGAAGTTAAATCAACCTTGTTTCTGGGTTAATCTCACTTGGTTATGGAATATAATCCCATTTTAAAGCTGTCAGATTTAGTGTAATCGAATTTTGTTGACTATTTTTCAGTGACTGTATTCATAGAAAAAGTTGGGTCTGTAGTTTCCTTGTAATGTTTATGAACATCTCATAGACATGAGTTGGAAAGTGTTCCTTCATCCTTTGTATTTTTGAAAAAATTTGTGACAAATTGGTACTAATTCTTCTTTAAATTTTTGTTATAATTCAATACTGAAGCCAACTGAGCCTGATTTTAATTGTGGCAATGTTTTTAAATACCTAATCAATCTTTTTATTCCTATAGAGGTATTCAAATTTTTTCTTTTTTTCTGGAGTCAGTGTTGGTAGTTTGTGTCTTCTAGAAATTTTTCTATTTTATCTAAGTTATCTAATTTGTTGAAATATAGTTATCCACAGTATTGCTTTTTAATTCTTTTTATTTTCATAATATTAGGAGTGATGTCTCATCTTTCATTTCTGATTTTAGTAATTTCAGCCTATCTCTTCTTTTCTCAGTCAGTCAAGTTAAAGATTTTTAATTTTCCTGATTTTATCAAAGAACCAACTTTTGCTCTCTCTGACTTTCTCTATTGGTTTTCTTTATTTATATTCTCTAGTTCATTAATTTCTGCTTTAGTTTTTAGTATATGTTTCATTCTATTTGCTTTGGGTTTAATTTGCTCTTCTTTTCCAGTATCTTAAGGTATAAGGCTAGGTTATTGATTTGAGATTTTTAAAAAATATATAGGAATTTACAACTTATAAATATTTTCCTAAGCACTGCTTTACTTACATGCCATGAGTTTTGGTATGCTTTGTTTTACTTTTATTAAACACAAAGTATTGGTTAATTGCCCTAGTAATTTTCTTGTGACCTCTTGGTTATTTACATATGTAGTATTTAATTTCCACATATTTATGATTTTCCCAATTTTTTTCTCTCTACATTTAAAATCATTATATTCAGAAAACATATACTACACAATTTCAATCATTTAAAATTTATCTGGGTTTGCCTTATCACCTAGACTGTGATCTATACTGGTAAATATTTCTTGTGCACTAGAGAAAAACGTATATTTTACCATTGTTAAATGGAGTGCTTTGCTGAAGTATCTTAGGTCTAATTCCTTTACAGTTGTCCAAATCTTTTATTTTCTTGTTTGCAATTGTTTGCATGGTATATATTTTCCATTCTTTTAGTTTCAGCTAATTTTTTCTGTTGAATTTAAAAGAGTGTTTTCTGTAGACAGCATATAGTTTTATCTTTATTTTTATTCTCACAATCTCTGCCTTTTGATTTAATTTTTAATACATTCACAATTAATGTAATTATTGATATAGTTGGATTTAGGTACACAATTTTACCTTGTTTTCTATATGCCTCATGTCTTTGTTGTTCTGCTGTTTCTCTTTCTTTTACACTGATGAATATTTTCTAGTATAATATTTAATTCCTTTAATCATTCCTCATTTTTTATAGTATTTTTTCGTTTGTTCTATGGCTTACTATATACTTCTTAACATCAAAATCTATTTCACATTTATACTAATTTAATTCCAGTGATATATAAGAGGTTACTCCTATATAGGTCTAGTCCCTCTTCCTCCTTTCTGTGCTATTATTGTTACATATGTCACATTTCTATGCATGACAAACCAAATAATACAATGTTATAATTTTTACTTAAGATAATTGTACATCTTTAAGGAGCTAAAAGAGGAAAAAAGATCAAGCATGTATTTATAGTTTGTTCTACAAACAGAGACTAATAACTTTTTATTTATAATTTCTAATTCTCTTCATTTGTTCCTATGGATTTGTGTTACTATCTGGTGTCATTTCTTTGCCATCATACCGTTTTGCTTCCATCTGCCTCCTTTGTGTGGCTATTGTTGAATATATTACATTTCCAAATGTTACTAACTTTAAAAATATAATTTTATATATTTTTTTACAAAATTTAAAAATCAGATTATAGAAGGAAGAGAAATATGCCTTTATGATAGTTTTAT